TTTGAGAAACACTGGGTTACATAGTTGGGGGGGCGGGGGCTGGTTGGGGAATTCTGGGAGTTGAAGTCCACAGGACTTAAAGTCACCAAGTTTGAGAAACACTGGGTTACATAGTTGGGGGGGCGGGGGCTGGTTGGGGAATTCTGGGAGTTGAAGTCCACAGGACTTAAAAAGTCACCAAGGTTGAGAAACTCTGGGTTACATAGTTGTGGGGGGGCTGGCTGGGGAATTCTGGGAGTTGAAGTCCACAGGACTTAAAAAGTCACCAAGGTTGAGAAACACTGGGTTACATAGTTCTGGGGGTGGGGTGGGAGAGGGCTCCAGCCGTGTTGCCTGTGGGGAAGAGAGCTTCATGACGTCATAAAGGTGAATCCATTTGCAGGTTGCTCAGATAATTCCTTGAAGGGGGCGGGTGTTAAAGCGGGAAGGGAGGGGGCGGCAAACGAGCGCCGTCGCCAGAGGAAAGAGGCGGGCGGCGAGGAAAGAGGCGGGTCTCCGCTCTCATCTCCTTGCCTCCCTCTCCCTCCCACCCCCAACGCCGCCCTCGCCAGAAATCAGAGCATCGCAGGCGGCTGCCCCGTCTTTCCTCCCTCCTGCCTCTGCGCGCCGCCGAGATGGACGCCTCAACTGCGGGCAACAAGGAGCGGGAGGCCATGCAGCTCCTGGCCGAGGCCGAGAAGCGGGTCAAATCCTCCCATTCTTTCCTCCGGGGGTTCTTCGGGTGAGCCAGCCGGCGGGAAAAGGCAGGAAGGGAGAGAGGGAGGGAGCAAAAGGCACCGCTATCCTCGGCCCTAGAGGAGACTTTCCTCGGCGCTACTTCCACACAGCTCCGGGGCTTCTCATCCGGGCCCCCTCCGCGCCAGCATCCTTATGCTGAGCTCCCCACCATCAACACACGTACACGCACCCCGGGCGAAGGGAGAATTTGCTGGGGTGGCTTATAGGGGGAAAGGGCGGCTCTGCTGGAATAGGGGCTCAGCCTCTGGCTCGGAGCTGCATCGTGGAAGAAGCGAACCCGAGTCAATGAGGGCCGAAGCTGTTGCGAGTGGGGAAAGAAATGTGGACTTCATTCTACATACCCTCAAGGGTTGTAAATAAAAGGATCTCCCTCTCCCGCCCTTAATCTGACGTTGCCACCTGTCAAGCGTGGCTGCAGAACGTCTGAAGGCGGGTTGCAGGAAGCCTGGGAAGTGACAGGGCACATTTGAGAGGTCTAGGAAATGAGAACAAGGACTCTGGTGAAATTGTAATTGGGATTTAATGCAGCTATGGACTTGCGGGCCGTAGGGATGGAGATTTAGCGGAAGTCAGCGGAGGTAATCCTAAAATTACAACGGTTCATTTAGTGACTGTTCAAAGTTGCAGTGGTGACCTATGACCGTTTTTTCATCATTAACAGCCTTTGCAGCAGCCTCAGGGTCGAGCGACCAAAATTCAGATGCTTGGCAATCCATTGGTTTGTATTGATGACCTTTATTGTATCCTAGTGCAGTGTTTCTCAACCTTGGCAACTTGAAGATGTCTGGACTTCAACTCCCAGAATCCCCCAGCCAGCATTTTCTGGGTGGGGGAGAAATTTTTTTTTTAGTTTGCCAATCTGGAAATTAAAAAAAATAAACATCTATTGTAGGGGTGTCAAACTTGTGTCATCATGGCGGCATCAAGTGACGTATCAGGACTTTCCCCCCCTTCCCTAAACCGGGCCGGGGGGGGGGGGGGGGGGGGGGGGGGGGGGGGGGGG